ACATAGAACTGTGCCTGGTGGCTCTTCTCTCCCTCTGAGGTTGGAGTGATGACTGTTCAAATATGAAGAAAAGGCTTCTCCCCAGCTGGTGGGCCAAGGCATGATAAAGCTGTGCCTGACTGCTCTTCTCTCCCTCCAGAGCTGGAGCAATGGCTGTTCAAACCTGGAGAGAGGGCCAGTTGCTAGGCCAAGGTGCCATGGAGCTGTGTCTGGCTGCTCTTTTCTCCCTCAGAGGCCAGAGCAGTGGCCATTGATGCATGGAGGGAGGCCTCTTATGCTCCAAGACTATGGGCCTGTACAGACTGCCAGAAATAATCTAGCTTGAGACCACTTTAACTGTCCTAGCTCAGTGCTAGGAAATCATGGGAATTGTAGTTTTCCTGAGACATTAAGCCTTCTCTGTCAGAGAGTTCTGGTGCCACAATAAACTACAGTTCCCATGATTCCTTAGCATGGGAAGTTAAAGTAGTCCCAAGTTAAAGTGGTCCCAAGCGGGATTATTTCTGGCAGTCTGTTCAGGCCCTACATTATTTAATAGAGATGAGAGATAACCTGATCATTCCTGTTCTGAAGGTCATATACATGGTGTTTTTCCTCTCTCTCTCTCTCTCATATATTACTCTTAGAGAAGATCACTAAAGGAAGAATTTGGGGAGATTTGAATGAGGCAGAGGAGTCTGGATAAAAGTGCAAAATAGTGTGCACCTATTATTGAAACCCATACATCTGAATATATATTTCAAAGGTTATATGAAACAGTAATGTACTTCTACTCTAACAATTTAATCTTCCTCACTAGTGACTTATACTGTTGATTTAAATTATTAAAACTGTGTCCTTCAAAAAAAGGAGGGGAGGATTTAAGTCATGATTTAAGTCATTTTGATTTAAATCTAACTAACCCTGGTCGAAACCAAGGGCTCAAAAAGTTACCCTATGGAATTATAATTCCAAGAATCACACACATCCTGACCTGCCCAGCCAGTCGTGGCTGGGGAATCTGGAAGCTATAGTCCAAATTGTAAGATCCCTTTGCGTACTGATTTTCCAGACGAACACAGCTACATCTTTGAATTCTAAATGAGTTGGTTGCACTCAGGTTGGTGGCAGACACTGCCCTGTTGCCAGTGTTGGGGTAACATCTAGTTTAGTTTGCCGCATGTAGAACAGGAGAAACATGTTGGGGTGTATTGAAAAATACCACAGCAGAGTTGTGGAGTCAACAAATATAGAGCTTTACTTCAGCAGAGTGTAAGGCAAAACATAAGCAAAGCAAAAACATAGCATAATAGCCAAGTACACATACAATGCAGAAAAAAGGCATAACATAACTTCCTGCAAACCTGCAGTACTATAACTCCTTAGCAAGGAGAAAAAAACTTACATCCCAGCAATATGAAAAACAACAAGCTTCTGACCAGCATGGAGAGTAATACACTCTCTAACACCCAAACAAATTCACTATGCAGTTATACTTTGCTAAGTGGCTATCCAGACCACCTGGCCTAATTGGCTAACTGCATCATTAATTGGCAGAGCTGGCTTGCTATCATGGACTTCACTGGCCACTTTGCTATACCTTCATCCAGTCACAACTTAGTATGCAAACTGGCATACCCTGACAAAACAGTGATTGGGAAGCACAATCTTCAGGTGGTAAACATTTGGGTGCGTCTTTGTGTACACCTCTCATCCCTTTGAGCTCTCCTATAAACAGTATGGGCTGCTATCAGCCACTGGCATCCAAACTGGATCCTCCACAAATAGATTTATAATCATAGAGTTGGAAGAGACCACAAGGGCCATCCAGTCCAA